CTTTAAAAGCATATTTTATAAATGTTTAATGCCTTCACGCCCGGACCTCCCCGCCGCTGTCCCCGGGCCGGGGGGTTGGCATGTCATAAATCAGGGAAATGCTAATAAAAAATAGAAAAAGCAGGCTCGGGCGGGGCGGGAGGGGACGGGCCCCCCCCTCCCTGCAACTCCAGCCCTTCCTCCTCCTCCTCCTCCTCCTCCTCCCCTTCCCCCGGCCGGGAGCCATCTTGTACAGCAGCTCCCGGCTGGGGCATCGCTGCTGCAAAACACCCTCGGAAAACAAAATAAAAAAGGAAAAAAAAAAAAGCTCCCTTCCGATGTAACACACGCTTTTTTCTAATTATTATTGTTATTGTTATTATTATTGTTATTATTATTATTTTTCCCTTTCTGGCGCGCCTGTTTTCCCAGCGTTTTCCCCATGAAATCCCAGCCACCATTGCTTTTTTCCCTATTATTTCCCCCAATAATCCCCCCACCCCTGCAGCACCGCAAATGGGGGGGCTGCGAGTACCCCGCGCAATTTCGGGGGGCGGCGGCCGCTCCCGCATTTCGCCCCGCGCCAAAGCTTTGCCGCAAACAGCTCTTTCTGCAAAAAATACCTATTTTTATTAAAAATAACATCGGGGCGGGGAAGGGGGGGGTAGGATGTCCCGCGAGCAGCCGCACCGCGTTATGCCCCCAATTCCCATTCCCATCCCGATCCCATTCCCGTTCCGATCCCATTCCCGTCCCGATCCCGGTGCCCCGGGCTCCCGGCAGGTTCCCACGGTGCCGCCCGCCCCCGGGCCGCCCCCCGCCCCCCCCGGGAGGGGGCACCCCCTTCCCGCCCTGCGCGCCCGGCTCCGCTCCCTCCGACTCTGCCCTTGCGCTTTTTCCTTAAATTTCTTTTATTTTCCCTCCCCTCCCCCGCTCCCACCTATTTATTCTCCATTTTGTTTTGTTTTGGCTGTTTTGGCTTCCTGGTTTGGTTTGTTTTGTTTTTCTTCTTTTTTTTTCTTTTTTCCATTCTTGCCTTCTCTCCCCTCCCCGGACGAGCACGGCATTCCCGGTGCCCGCGGAGGCGGAGGGCAGCGGGCAGGAGGCAGCGGAGCGGTGCGGGGCTCGCAGCCCCCAGCCCCACACCGGGCACTGCCCCCGCTCCCGGGATGCAGGTAGGACGGGGGGGAGCGGCATCTGGGGCTGGGGGGAGCTGGGGAGGCTCTCTGGAGACGTGGGAGGCAAAGCAAACCGAGCCCCCCACTCCCGATGCATCTCCCCCGTTTTGGGGGGCTGCCAAGGCGTGGGGGATGGGGGACACTCACCCCTTCGCTGCCAACCCAGCTCTCGATTCTGCACCCACAGGCCCTGCTGGACCCCCATCCCCATCTGCTAGGCACCCCCGAAATACCCTTTTTTTCCCCCCACAAATGCCCCTCTGTGTTCCCCATCCTTAGCCGGGGGGTGCTGTGCATCCTTCCCGCCCGCTGTTTCTAACGTGCTTACTACACGTTTTCAGGGTGTTTTTGGAGCTATATTTAAAGCGTGCAGTCAGTGGCTGGATTTAGAAATCCAGTCATAAATCACATTAAAACGTGGACGGCGACAATCCCAACGCGTCGGCAAAGCTTTGCCCTGATTTCATTCCTTCCCCCCCCCATCTTAAAAGCAGAACCGAGTCTGACAGCAAGGTCCCATCCCCCCCAAATAAAACCCTGTAGGGACAGAGGTGGGATTTGAAGGCAAGGGGGGTTTATTCCGATGCATCCATGGTGATTTATTTATCCATGGGGGGGCTTGGATAATTCCAAAGCCCGGGATCTCTCCCCACCCCAGCCCCTGTGCCTAGTGAAGGAGCTGCCACCCCTGGGGAGGGGGCTGTGGAGTGGGAGGGGGGGTCCCAATGAGGAGATCCCCAGGGAAACGGTTTGGGAACTGAGCAAAGAATTTCTGATTAATGACCAGAACAGCTCAGGATTTCGGTTTTCTCCATAAATCCTGGCTGATTATAACCCTTGTGCTCAGCCTGGCAGCGGGCTTTGCATGGAGGGGGGGGGCCCAAGCAACGGCCCCCACCAGGGGCTGGAGCCAGTGCCTGGCAGCAGCTGGGGGCTGCAGCATCCTCAGCATCCCAGCCAGAGCAGAGGGAGAGGGGCCAGGGGCTGCACAGGGATGTGGTTGGTGCCCTCCCCCCAGTTCACAGCAGTTCTGATCCGTCAGCTCTGGGGTTTGTAAAGCCAAACATATCCCAAACCAGGCTGGTTTTGAGTCCAAATACAGTCCAAGTACTGGCTTTTTTCCTTGCCTAGCACAGGAGGGTGGGTATTTATGCACAATCTCACCCTGTTTTCCTGCCCTGCCACCTGTGCACTCACTTCCACCCTAAATCCTGAGCCGGGACCCCCAGTGCTGGGACCTGCCCTATGCTGGGTTCCCTTTGCTTTCCACGACCTCCACCAAGCCCTTGTACTGGGCTTTTTTCACAGCTAGACTGGCTCTTCTTGGATACATCAGGCTGGATTTATTTTTTTTTCCCTTTTACCCAATAACAAGTTTTTTTCATCCAAGATCAGGGGGAAAAAATAGGCAAGGAGGAGGGCTGACATTCACAACCCATAGAGAGCTTTGAGAAGAGCACCAACCCCAAAGCTGTAATTACTGCCTGCATTTTTTGGCTACGGATCAGCTGCTAAATTGGTTGTAAGGCACGGAAACGGCAGTTACACCTTTCAGAGGAAAAAAATGTGGTTTAGTGGAGAAACGTGCATGGGAAACCTCCCCAAAACTGCAGTCCCCATACAACACCCCTCTATTACAGGTTCTGCATTTGGGAGTTTAAAACAACCCTCCATCCAGGTGAGCTGAGCTTGGAATGACAAGACCTTCTGCACCAACAGAGTAAATTGGGGATTTTTCCCTTGATCTGTCAGTTAAATCAAAAATACCCTCCTGGATGCAGGACACGAGCAAGAGAGAGGCAGGAGCATGTGCTATTTTAAGGTTTGATATAAAATAGATACCCTTGGCTCCAGCATTTCTCCCTAGCCCAGCCCGCTGGAGCTGCAGGTACTTTCGTATGCATACAAAACATTCTAAAATGGAAAATATTCACAGCTGCTCTCGCTGTTTTGACAGGGGGGAAGGAATCGCGGGGCATGTTAAGGAGATATTAAAAGCTGTGGTTTGAAGCTCCTAAAGCATTTACTCAGCAGGAGAGCCAGAGAAAGAAGTTTAGAAGTTAACTGCATACTTGTGTGCCTTTGCTCTGTCCTTCTTAAAATTCACCTCTCCTATCTGCTTCTAATTTAAACAAGCAGAGCCCTCCAGGAACTGGAAAATCCAGATTTGCAGCATCTCCCAGGGAAAGACGATTTCCTACGTGCCCCCCCCAGCGTGAGGGTCCTGCTGAAGGTTAAACTCGTGAGTGCCTTTGGTTTTGCACCAAGTTAATCTCCCCACAAAATAAAAGACTGGGGAAGTGCTGGTGAAAACTGGTCCCGGGCTTGCTCCCATCCCTGTTCCAGAGCCAGACATGGATTTCACCACCTCTGCCAGCACTGAGTGCTCATCCCCACACTGTGCCCTGGCCTGCTTCAGCTTCCCTGCCTGAAAGCAGGGTAAACCCATCCACCTCCCCGGGGTACGTTAGGGTGGCTTAAAATTAACACTCACAAACGTATTTTCAAATCCCTTCATGAAAGGCACGAGAAGCACCGGGTGTTAGCAGAATAGATCCTTCACCTTTTAACAGCTGTTAATTGCCATTAAAACCAAACCTGCACAGCTTTATTGGAGCAGCATCTGAGTTTCCGTGTCGCACGCCGCGCGTCGCAAAGCCCGCGTCCGCCCTCGGTCGTGCCCTCCTGCACGTGCTGGCTGCCAGGACGAGCTGTGGTGGATAAATCCTGTCCCACTGGTGGTTACCTTGCACTCTGGGGCCTTTTGGAGGGTTTCCTGGTGCCTGGTTTTTTCCTTCGCCGTCCTGTGAGTCGCTGCACCAGTTCCAAGGAGCTCCACACACCTGCCCTCGACTGGCACTGGGAAGGAGGATGGGATGCAAGACTTGTTCCCAGAAATACCCCGAGGAAGCAAGCAGGAGCCTGCCCTCGAGGAACTGGGTCCCTGAGGCTGAATCCAGCCCGCAGCTGCCAGCAAAAGCACGTGCTGGGTGTCACAGGGATGGGAATAGCTCTCTGTGACCAACGTGGAGTAAATCAACAGGCTGGGCTGGGGAAAGGCTGCCAGCACTGCTCCCCTGCTCCATTCACCGTGCTGGCCTCCCTTCCCTGCTGCTTTTGGGATTCATTGACCTGATCCCTTCCATGGCATCCCCTCATCGCCCTCCAGCCCAGATCTGGCAGGGGGAAACTCCTGTGGCAGGAATTCTCCCGCTGTCCCTGAAGCCACTGGCTCCTCACATCCCTCACAGGTGCTTTGTGCACTCCCAAACATCCAGACCCACCCAGGAGTGCCCTGTGCCACCAAACTGCAGGTGCTAAAACCCACGAGGTGGTTCAGCAGGGCTCGGTGACTCTGAGCCCATTGTCAGACCCCGGGCTTTGCTGTCCCCTGGATCCAGCACAAGGAGGGGGTGTCCAGGGCTGGCTCCCAGGGCTATCCCATCTCTGTTCCCATCTCTGTTCCCATCTCCCAGCCCTCTGCGTGGGGGGAAGGGGGGATTGGACAAGACGAGCCCTTTCTGCTCCACAAAGCTCGTCAGCCAGCAGCACTGGGCTTATAATTATTATTTCCTTAAAGACGAGCCGAGCAGCTATAGACAAAAAAGTCCCCTCTTGTCGGAGCTGGAATTTGATGTCCTAACGACTGTTTTTGTACCGCGCCTGTTAGAGGAAAGAGCTCGGCAGGAGGGGGAAAGAGAGATTTAATTATAGAGCTGCATTGTGATTTTGCACACATAGCTGGCTGTTGTAATCAGGTTACAAGTGTATCTGATTTTCTTCCCTCCCCTCCCTCTTCCTCCTCTTTCTCTTTCTTTTCTTTTTTTCTTTTTTTTTTCCTCCCCCTTTTTCCTTTCGGTGGTCCAAATTAGTTGCTTATGTTTGGGTGTTGCAGAGACGAGCTGTTATTTGTCTTCAGTGAAGATCTTGATCTAGGGAACAGCGTTTGCAAAGAACCTCGGCAGCTCTTTCCCGAAGGAAGGCAAAGGCTCCCAGCTCCAGCAGAAACCCGTGGGGCTGTGCTGGGCACTCACATCCCACCCTCCCAGGGCTCCCTTCCCACCACCAAATTCAGGGGAGACACCCATAAATATATACTAAAAATTTATATATATTTACACACATATATCTGCCTCCCCCATGCTCCCCGCCAAATTCCTTCACATCCAGGATTCCCTCAATAAATTGATGCACTTGAAGAAGAGGAGAATTTCTCTTACCTGGGGCAGGAGAAGAGAAAAAGAAGAGACAAGAACCTTTTTAAAAGAAACTTAATATTTTCCCTATCTGAGGCAAGTGATGCCACACTGGGATTGGGGGCTGTTGTTGGGTTCATTTAGGAATCCATTGTTGTCCATGTGAATTCTTTTTTACATTTCAAATAACAGGATTATTTCCCCAGGGGGTAATATCCTGTAATTTGAACACAATAATGGGAATAAATTACTTACTTAGAACTAATAACGACAGCCTGATTCCAATATATATAGGAACTGTAACAGCTTTGGTTAGTTAAAGTGTAATTGTGTCGACGGATGACATTTTCTTTCAAAGGAATCTGAATGACTTTTAATTAAATTTGCTGGGGGTGGGGAGGAGAAGGAGAGATACACTGGGAGATCTCAGCTGCTGAGGCTGTGCTGGTCCCAGCCTTGGTGCCCCAAGCCCGGCTTTGCCCCAGACTGGGTGTCAATCCACGCTCGTGGAGTTTAAAGACCAGAACAGAACAGAGAAGGAAACCAGCACCAAACCCCAGGGATGGTGGGATGGAGGGGATGGGGAGGATGAAGAGGGGTGGAAGGATGGAGCCCACCTCATTTCCCAGTCTGACAGAGGGCAGGGCAGTGCCCAGATCCTGCCCTGGGGCACCACGGAGTTTCCTTTACCTTTGCTGGGAAACAGAGGAGCTGATGGAGGGCAGGAGGCACCGGCAGCCAGGCAGGGCAGCTCTGCTGCTCACACTGGAGTCACAGAATCCCAGGATGGTTTGGGTTGAAGGGAATCTTCAAGACCATCTTGTTCCACCTCCTGCCCCGGGCAGGGACACCTTCCCCTATCCCAGGTTGCTCCAAGCCCCTCCAGCCTGGCCTTGGACACTTCCAGGGATCCAGGGGCAGCCACAGCTTCTGTGGGCACCCTGTGCCAGGGCCTGCCCACCCTCACAGAGAGGAATTTCTTCCTTATATTCAATATATTCAATCTAACCCTGCCCTCTGTCAGTGGGAAGCCATTCCCCTTTGTCCTGTTACTCCAGGCCCTTATCCAAAGTCCCTCTCCAGCTCTCTTGGAGCCGCTTTAGGCACTGGAAGGGGCCCTAAAATCTGCCTGGAGCCTTCTCCTCTCCGAGCTGAACACCCCCAACCCAATATTGTTACCTGAGCCCAAGGGTTCTCCAGGGAAGGCAGCTCTGACCAGGGGGATCTGCAGCAGCAGCTGTGCATCCCAGCTCCTCGCCCTCAGCCCAGAGCTGCCCTGCAAGCCCTGGGCTCTGCACATCTCCTCACTGCTGCCTGCAGTGCCCACCGCTCCTCGGGTTCATTTCTGAATCAGCAGCACGCGAGGTTCCCTTCAGAGGCAGGATAAAAAAAAGCTGCAGTGTGCAGAAAGCCAAGTTCCTGCCCCGAAATAATCTTGGAGAGGAGCAGCGTGCTGCTGCCAGTGGCTCCAGCCTCCTCCAGGACTCATTTTCCTCTGTTTATCTTGAAAATATTTCTGTGCTGAGGTCCCACCCCGCGCGGCGCAGCCCTGCGAGGCCGCCTTCAGCCTGACACACGGCCTCTTGTTTATCCACAGCCAGTTTTACAAATAGCTTATTAAGCCCAGAGGTCTGTTTGCTGGAGGAAAACCTCACAGAGCAGCTCCTGCAGCCCCTCCCGAGGCTCCTGCCAGCTGTGCCCCCTCCCAAACCCCCTCTGATGTGCATCCAGGGGCTCAGACATCAGTGTCTGCCGGGTTTGGGGATCGCTCCTGCTTTGATAAAACAGCCAGAGTGCTGCTGGTGTGCTGGGTCTCCCACCCCTCTCACCCTCTCCCTGTTCCCAGGGATGTCCCAGATGGGATTTTGGCATGGCACAGGGATGCTGCAGCACTGCCAGCTCTGGTTTATGTGATCCCGCAGCAGAGCTGCAGGGAAGTTTTGCCTTTTGCAAGATTCCCCTGCAAGGGCTGCTGGTTTGGGGGGATGGAGGGGTTTGGGTTGCTGGAAGAATATTTTGAGGGTTGCTGAAAAAATGTCCAAAGCCATGACAGATGAGGACAGTTGGATGCTGTGTATGGTGGTCCTGGCAGGAGCCCAGAGGAACTCTGCCCTCAGATTCCCTCCTGTGCCTCTGCTGCCCAAATGGGCCTGGGATCCCCAGGAGGGAGCTGGGATGGGGGGTTCAGCCCACAGCAAAGTGTCAGGGATCTCCCACTGGGCTTGAGCCTGACCACAGGCACCTCTCTGACCACAGGGACCACCAAACCCGTGCCCAAGCACCTCTGTCCCTGCTGCCACCACTGTCCTGGGCAGGAGCCTGGCTGTGCCCAATCCCCAGCACCCCACCCCAAAAACCCCACAGAGCATCACTCCCGGAGCACAGCCAGGCAGAGCCCTGTAACACAGCAACATTCATAGAGCCCAGCTGAGGAGATTGAGTTACCTGCCCCTGGAAGAATAAAGGAGGCATTCAGCCATTTTTTTAACATCTTTTCCCCTGCCAAGGGCAGGCAGTGACGGTGGCGCATGGAGGCAGGGAAACACGAGCCCCTCTCCTCTCCCTCTGAGGGTGACCCCAACCTGCCCCACATCCCCCACTCCCCCAACCTTTTAACACCCAGGGAAGCACAAGCTTTGCTCACCCGTCAGGAGCTCCCTTATCTTTTAATAAAACCTTTAAGAGCAGAAGTCAGGCAATGCCGGCACAAAGGCAGCTCAGCCTCCTCCCGGGACATTAATCATTTTCTTTGACACGTTTTGCTAATTAGCCAAAGCGTTTGCCTCGACAGGGGAGAAACTGGGGCCTGGGAAAAAAAAAAAAAAAAAAAAAGAAAAAAGTAGAAAAAAAAACATTAGAAGAAGGAGGAGAGGTGGAAAGGGAGGAAGAAATGGGGGAAGAAGGAGCTGACGTCACCCCTGTGTGATCCGGCATCCCTGGGCATCACCTTGCTGGGAGAAAACCCAGCCCCAAGCCCATCCCAAGGGTTTTGGAGCATCATGAGCTGCAATACACATTTTACCTTCCCCATCCCACTCCTGGTTGCCCCAGTAGTGCAGATTGCAGCCGTGCAGGGTTATTTGAAACGCTCTGTTTGGAGGTTTAACTCACGGATCTATCTTTTACATGGCTGTTAATCCTCAGGACACATGTTTCCTATCAGCCCTTGATATTTAACATACAACAAGTGTCTTATTAAATCCCAGGGACTGGCTCCATGCAGCCCTCTCCCCCCAGGACCTGTCCTGAGGACATCCCAAAGGCAGATGGGGCACCCCAGCTTGGGCACGCATTTGGGGTGCAGAGTTTGTTATAATCCACAGGGTGAGAACTAGAGTGGGGTGAAGGCTCCTTCACAGGAATTCAGCATTTAAATTGGCTGAGCAGCCACTGCTCCCACACATGAGGAAACCCCTCACAATTTTTAAAAATAAGTTATTTTTAAGGGGTTTCTGGCGATGCTCTGGTGGCCAGTGAGCCCATCTCAGGCAGGACTAGCTGCTGCCTCAGCATGGCTTCTTTTTCTGAGTCCAACTCAGTTTTCACAGGACTTGGTGTTCACTGGAGGAGAGATACCACAGAGAGAGCAAGTCACAGTGAATTCCCTCTAATCCACAGCATTCAAAACAGAAAATCCCAAGGAGAAAGCAACGCCTGCTCATCCCTCCCCCCAGTCCAGCATGGCAGAATCCTGGCTCCTGTCCCGTCCCTGAACATCAGCTCTCCATCCCAACTCCTTAGGGAAGGGCAAGGCAGAAAACCACACGGCACAATCCCCTTTTCTCCACAAAACCAAGGGTAAGAACAACAAAATTGGGCGGTACAGCCCCTCACATGATGTAAGGACAGCCCCCTGCCCACAGCAACTGTCCTGTTCCCATCCATGGGTACAAGGGAGCAGGAGCAGCATCCCAGAGCCACGTCAGTCCTTTGGGGAGTGTTAAAAAAACAAATCACAGCTCTTTGCTCCTCTCCAGCACAAGTTTCTCATTGCTGTGGGATGACACACACCACCTCCTCCAAAACAAGGCTCTGTATTATTATTCTGTTTCTAATTTGGGGGTTGGAAATGATTTTCCATGCCAGATTCCAAACTAAACCAGCAACCCCCCCCCCAAAAAAAAGAAATCGCTAATGTGCTTTCCAGAGAGCAGTGGCACGGTCAGTGCTCTGTGAGGAAAGGGTGAAGGTGTGGTACAGAGCAGTGAGCACCACAGAACATCCCTCTCAGTGCCTATTTCCAAGAAAACACATTTCAAAATAGCCAATTCAGTTAAATACAGAGCTGGCCCAGACTCCTGCTGCAGCCGGGTCTGGGATGGGCCGGTCCCACTGGGAAAGGGCTGTGCTCCATCTCTGCCCTCTGACGGACTTGGAGAAAAAGCAGTGAATGGTGAGAATTTGGGAGGCAGTGTGGTGCTGGGAACTCAATGGGAATCAGCATCATTCCCATTCTGAGTGTTTTAACCCAAATCTACCAATGGACCCTGCTTGCTTCCTACGAGGAAGCCAAGTCACACAGCAAGGTCTCACTTCTCCGTGTCCTGCCTGGCCTTGGGGACAGTGGGGACGCCCAGGACAAGCCTGGATGAGTCCCCAGCCCCATCAGCCCAGGTTGTGCCACAAACCCTGTGGAGAAATTTGGGTGGCCCCGTGCAGCCGGCGGTGCTGGCAGGAGAGTGGAAACCAACACGAAAGGAGCCCATGGAAACCCTCCAAGCTTCCAACACCGTTGTATAAGAGCCACTGAAAAACACTAATCCCCAAAAAATTCAACCCTGGGAGGGTGAGCAGGCTGCCTCCCAGGCAGCTGATGGAGCATGGCTTGCACGGCCAGCCCTGCACACATCCAGGGGAAAACGCCCTCAGGTGAGGAGCTCCGCAGGAAGGTCGGGGTCCCAGAGGTTTTTACACCAATGATCCTTTAAAGAAAAGACAGACAAGCGAGGCAGGGAGGCAGGATCGCCCGACGTGCCGAGCGCTGCTGCAAAACAAGTTGATTTTCCATGAGTCACCAGTGGAAAGAGCAGATCAGGCGTCCCATGGGTGGGCTTGGCTGAGCCTGCCCTGCATCCCCACCACGGCCGGGAGGATGCTGCGGGTGCAGCCCCTTCCCTGCCTGCTCTCAGCTGCCCCAGGGCTGCTCTGGTTACCCCAGGGGGGGTTCCGTGGAATCCCAAACACCTCGGGATGCAGGGATTTCCCCATCCATCGACATTCCCCATGGAGACCAAACACTGTGACCCCGGGGCTGCGTCATTGCTGTCCCCTAAAACCCTCCTGAGGGACCAGGGCAGGCGGTGGCAGAAATAAAAACACAGAAAGAAACGTGGAAGGAGCGCCCTGAAGCAAACGGGTGTGGTTTGATGGTGGCGGGAAGGGGGGAGAGCGATGACAGGCGGCGCAGGAAATCCCTGGGATCGTAAATCCCATCGGGAATGCACGAAACCAGCGCGTTTCCTTCCACGGCTGGGTGGGAGGTTACGGGGAGGGCAGTAAAGTTGAGGGAATCTGGGCTGGAGTGTTTTGGTGTTTAGGGGAGAGACACCACAGAGAGAGCGACTCGCAGTGGATTCCCTCTAATCCACAGCATTCCAAACAGAAAATCCCAAGGAGAAAGCAACGCCTGCTCATCCCTCCCTCCAGCCCAGCATGGCAGAATCCTGGCTCCTGCCCCATCCCTGGACATCAGCTCTCCATCCCAACTCCTTAGGGAAGGGCAAGGCAGCACCCAAGGCAGGGGGTCCCAGGGTCACATCCTGGGGAGGGCTGGAAATCCATCCCATCCCATCCCATCCCATCCCATCCCATCCCATCCCATCCCATCCCATCCCTTCCCCATGGGATCACAGCGAGCCTGGCTGAGCTCTGGGTACACCAACAGCACGTCCCTGCTGCTGGCCGGCTTTCCTGGCAGTCCCAGGCAGGATTTGGCTGCACAGGAATTTGGAAGCTGCCTTAAACCCAGAAAGAACTGAGGAAAGGCTGGGAGCGACTTTGTGAGCAGAGCTCAGCTGCAAATCCCCGCCCGGCAGCGGAGTGAGGTCGGACACTGCCGGGAATCGCCTCCTCCTCCTCCTCCCTGGGCACATCGAGGAAGGCTCCCCAGCACCTTCCACACCTTCTCCTCCCTCTCCCCAAAAGCACCCAGCCCTCCTCCTCTCCTCACCCCGCTGAGGTGACCCCAGTGATGGATTGTGCTGCTGTGGAATTCCATAAATCCCCCTCCCCTCAGCCCCAGGGCTGCTCTCTCCCCGTGGACACCATGGGCTGACACCAGGCTTCACTGCCTTACTGCTCATTTGGGGGGAACTGGGAGGAAAGGGATGAAAAAGGGACAAGAGGTGCTGAGTGCTCTAAAAATCAACAGCAAGAACGCAGAGAAATGAAAATTCTCCCCAAAGTCTCCTCTGGGTGCTCAGGAAGGTGCTTCCCTACCTCCGGCTGTCCTCATCCAGGGTTGGTGCTGGGGCCATTTCAGCTCCACACCCTTCAGGAGTCCAGCTCTGGCTCTTCACAACCCCAGATCCACTGGCAGGGATTTGCCTGCGTCATTCTGGCTCGTTGTATTTGTGGGAAACTCAGAGTTTCTTAGGAAAAACGAGCCCAGTGACGTTCCTGAGCTTCCCAATGATAGCCCAGGGTGGAGAGGGTCCTGGTACCCAACCCTGCATCACCAAAATCCAGGTTGCACCTTTTCCTGCAGGAGGAACAGCCAAGCACTTTCCACCCCAGTGATTTTTTTATCTCATTTAGGAGAATGTTTTTAATTACTGGTGCCATCACCCTGCACACTTTCTGTGTAAACACAGCCTCTCTGTGTGGCTTAAACGGACTGAACTCACACCTTCCTAAAGAACTCACTGGGAAAAGCAACAAGCCCTTGATGCTCAGAGGGAAGGGGAAGCCCAGGTCCTGGAGAGGGGATTTCTGCAGGTATAAATATACTCAGGATATGCTCCAAACCCATCAGCTCCGTGTTTCCCAGCTCTCTCCTCATTCAGGGACAGGCACCAACACAGGGACTCCATGCCACAACCCCTCCAGCTCCCTATATTTGCCCTAAAGGGATTTTCCTGCCTTTTTTCCCTGGCTCAAGCACCCTCCTTTCCTAGAGCACCTGGGGCACGACAAACATTATTCAATATCTTAGCTAGGTTTCATATATTGATCTTTTAACTCCCAAACTGCAGCTTGCAGGGGAAAAATCAAGTCTGGTGGGAATGGGATCCCAGCCCCAGCACTCCCTGGTTTTCAAGTATCTCATTTGGTTTCTCTGCCTCATTTTGGGGAGCAAACAGCTTCTCTATACTGGGCTGTGTCTTGTGCTGCCTCTCCCTGATGAAGAAGCCCTTGAATAATGAGGAAAGGGCTCGGATCTGCTTTGGTGGAAAGCTGCTTTCTCAAAAAACCTCAAAAACAACCTTCTGTAGGAAAAATAGATAGTTTGGGATGACCAGGGGTGCTCATCAGGGATTCAGGGCTGGATTTGCCCCCCTCACCAACCCCAGTGTGCCCATCAGCCTCCCAAAAAAGCCACGTTTGCTCACTGCTAATAACTCCCTGCAAAGAGGGGAGGGAAGAAAATTCCCTTCATGCTCTCACTTATGCAGAGACAAGGAAATGTCGTTTAACTAAACCAAACAAACGGATCCAGAGGCAAAGAGAAAAAAAAAAATCACATTATCCCCAATCATAAATCCTGGAGAGGGGTATTTACAGGCTGAATTGCCAAGTGCATTGGAGCTGCAGAGCATCCGAGGAGCAGATAGCCATAAAGGCAGACAACGGCCCTGGAAAAATGCTTTGATTAGGATCTGGGCAGCATTCAGCCCAGATGTTCATTTGTCAATGGAAGAGGGATGGGGGGGAGGTGAGAAAGGCTTTAAATTAATCTTTACAACTAGAAAGGAGCTTGTAATACACACCATATGGGGAGCAACGTCCTTGGAGCCCCTCTCCTCCCCCAGCCCGTGCTCAGGGCCAGGCTGGGACCCTCCAGCCCTGTCCCCCTGTCCCCCCTCCCCGTTTTCTCCATGCACCAAACACCCTGTGAGCCCAAACCCCTTCCACATCTGCTTTATTTTTCACTGTGAACAAAACAAACTGCAATTCCTCTTACAACACCAGATCTCTTTTATTATTCCCCCCCTCTCCCCGCTCCCTTCTTCAGACCCTGATACCTGCTCCCCCTCTCCCTCCAAAATCCACATGTGGGGGTTTTTTTAACCCTTCCAAGCTGCCAGCAGGGCTGAGGTGGGGGCTGTGTGTGGAGAGGAGGGACGAGGCTGTTTATTAAACGCCAACCATTCAAATTAATTCCCCTAATGGACTCACCGACATCATGGTGTGCATTTAAATGAACGCTTTGTCATATTTCATAGCCAACCTGCAGCTCTCTGCAGAGCAAACCTGCTGGAAAGCCAGGAACAGCAGCAATGACAGGGACAAACCCACAGAGAGATAAATAAGAATGAAATACAAATCCCCACCGCAACATGAAGGGGGAACAGAGAGCCCTTGGAAATTTGGAGGTGCAAGAGAGACCCCAGGCAGGGCAGCAGGAGCTGTGGTGGCACTGGGAGATGGGAGCAGGGAAAATCCTCCTGCTGCTGGGGCAGGAGGCACCAGAGAACATTTGGCTGGGATGGGGAACCTTGTCCAGGCCAGCTCAAAGCCACAGACTCCCAGCTGGACTCTGGGCTGTGCTTGCTCCACTGAACCCTGGGGAGCCCCACCAGGGCCAGGAGCAGCCCCAGCACCCCCAGCTCAGCCAGAGAGACCCAGCAAGGAGGGAAACCCTCTCCATCCTGCACCACCAGTGTGGGGCTGAGGGTGGAGGTGCCTGAGCATCCCTGCTCACAGCACAGGCTGGGATGGATGCTGGAACCCAGCCCCTCCTGGCAGGCTGAGACCACAGAATGCCCCAGCCCCTGGCACAGCATCCCTGCTGCTCCTGAGCAAACAGTTCATCCCCCCAGCACCCCTGGCACAGCCACAGGTTCCTCACCTTGGCTTCAGCTTCAAGAGCTCCTGGTCCTTTTACCAGCCTGATGGAAAATTGGTGTGTGCACACAGCCCCCATGTGCAGCTCCAGACACCTCCTGCCCCTCCGGTTCCTTTTCTTCCCCCACCTTTAAGAGCTGCAGCAGAGATTTCTTTCCACCTCTGAGGGTCCTTCTCCTTTTCTCCATCCTGCCCCAGGCATCTTCTGTGGGATCTGGAGGATGAGGAGGGGCTGGGGAAATATTGCTGGTATGACCAGGGGTTTTCACACACCACGAGGGCCAAGGGAAAGGGAATTTCCATGGTCCAGGACGGGGATGTAGGCAGCAGCCCCAGCCCCATGCTGGGCACAGGCAGGAGAGCAGAGGCAGCAGTGAATGCTGGCAGCCAGGTCTGTCCCATCCTCCCAGCTCCACTGCAGGCTGCAGGTCCCAGAATGGGCCAAAAAAAGCAAAAATCATTGAGTCCCAGAAGGAAGGGACCCCAAAGATCATCTCATTCCACCCCCTCCATGGGCAAGGACACCTTCCACTGCTCCAAGCCCTGTCCAGCCTGGCCTTGGGCACTTCCAGGGATCCAGAAGCAGCCACAGCTTCTCTGGACAAGCTGTGCCAGGGCCTCCCCACCCTCCCAGGGAAGAATTTCTTCCTAAAATCTGATCTAAGCCGGCACAGTTTGCAGAAGGTTCTCATTTAGGGAAACATCTGGAGTCAGCACTTCTCCCCCAAAGGGCAGCGAAGGGTTCAGAGGACAGCAGCCCTCATGCTGGGGAGGAAGAGGAGGAGGAAGGAGCCCATTTTCCTCATCCCCCAAGGAAGGGACAGAACATATTTGTGCTTGGTGTCTGTGACCCGGCCTCGAGTGAGCAGGCACCACCCCCTGCCAGAGAGAAGTGAGAAAATCCCCTGGAACCCCAGCCAGCAGAAATGTCCCTCCAGGGCCCAGAGCAAGTGTTGGCAATGCCCAGGGCCCTCCCAGGGCCAAGGGGACAGCCAGCTTTGGCTGAAGGACCCTGGGGACCCGAGGGGACAGAGGAGCAGGGATGCCTCTGGTGCCCTGGGCCGTGGGTGTGTAGGGAAAATGGCTCAGAGAGGGACAGCACCCCTGGGGACATGGCTGGTGTCACAGCACAGCCAGGGGATGTCACCTCCTTTTTCCAGGTCCTTTTTTTCTTGTCACCTCCTTTTCCAGATTCCCATGGCCCCGGAGCAGGAGCAATACCCAGGCTGCAAACAGAGCAAATGCCCCTTCCTTCCACGCTGGGGAGGTGAGGAAAGGTCCGGTCCCATCCCATCCCATCCCATCCCATCCCATCCCATCCCATCCCATCCATCCCATCCATCCCATCCCATCCCATCCCATCCCATCCATCCCATCCCATCCCATCCATCCCATCCCATCCCATCCCATCCCATCCCATCCCATCCATCCCATCCCATCCCATCCCAGGCAGTCTCCAGGGGCTGGCAGGGCCAGGCTGTGGTGACCCCGGGCTCTGGTGACCCCGGGGCTGTGTGGATCCTGGGCTCTGGTGGCACCTGCTGGGCTCCCACCCGATGCCCCCCAGCCCCTCCCTCGCTGAGCCCGGGGCTCTCCAGCCCTGACTCCGCTTCTGCAGCCCCAATCCCAGCCTGAGCCTCCCTCCAGCTCCCGTTCAGAGCCTCCACTCCCCATCCCTCACCGCCAGCTCCAGGGAAAGCCTCCCTTGCCTCGGCCAGGGCAGGGGGCAGCGCCCCCAGCCCCATGGGAGGGGTCCTGAGGAGACCAAAACCCTGACAAACCTGCACTAAGGGAGAAAATGCACAAATTAGGAGCGGGGGGGGGGGGGACAGGGATTGGGGAAGGGGGGAGGAGTTGTTTATCTAGAGCTGATTTTGATTTTCCTCTTTCAAATAGCAGCAGGATGCTGAGCCTCGCCTCGTTATGCAAATAGAAGCAATTAGAGCTCACCCAGGCTCTGCCCACGTGATGGTTTATGGCACTCGCAGAAATCCTTCCTGCTGCATGAGAGGAATAACAACAACAGCCCCCCGTGCCTGCTGCAGCCCTGCCGCGGCCAGGGGCACGGGAGGGCTGGAAAGAGGAGCCCCGGGGCTGGGACAGGTCCCCCATCGCCACCCCCAGGCCTCCCAAAGCTCTCAGAGGAGGATTTTCCAAAGGCTCTTCTGCTCTTCCATGGGCACACCAGCCCTGCCATCAGCAAACCCCACCAGCTCTTGGCATGTGAGAGGAGGAGGGATGGAGGGGGAAAGCATCACCCCAAAGCCTTTTTACCCCACCAAGGAACAAAGCCAGCCCCCAGCAGGGCATTGCTTTGCTTTGGCACATGGGTGTCCTTTGCTGAGCTCCAGCAGAAAGAGGCAAAGCAAAATGCCCTAAATTCCCTGCACTGGGGGGAGAAAGCACAGAAAAGTCACCCCCAGAGCAGCCCCAGCCTCGCCCTGGCTGCAGCAGGAGGTGGTGGTGGCTCCATCCCCTTCTTCCAGCACTCGCCCCCCCAGGGGCACCTGCAGGGACCAGACACGGGAGTGTAAATCAGGCTGGATGCCATAAATCCATCACCTCCCTCCTGATTTACACCCAGGTAGCCAGGAGGATTTACTCCCAGTACCTGCCTTGAGTTTCCCACCCCCAAAGGAGCACAGGGAAAGCAAAAAAAAAAAAAAACAAACCCAGGCTCTTTCAATATTGATCTTGCTCCTAAATCTCTTTTTTTTTTTTCTCCCTTCTTCTTCGGATGCAAATGGAGATTGATGAGGCCAGGCCAGCAGCTCCTCACCTCTGAGGGTCATTTCTCTGTGTTTCCCAGGGGGAGGAGTGGGCAGTGGGATCCCACAGAGGCCATCACCCCCTCATCCATGGGCAGGAGAGAGCTGCCAGCCCCTGGCTCAGCCCAGAGGTGTGGGATGAGGATGAGGAGCAGCCTCATGGATGAAGGCCACCACCAGGGATCATCTCACAGAGAGCTGACATCAAAGCCAGGAAGTCTCCAGCCTGCATCCCTGCATCAGCAGCTCTTCCCAGGGTTTGCAGGGTGGAAGATCAGCAAGGAGCCTCTTCCATCTCCCCAAAGCAAAAATTCTCCATCTCACGGGGGGAGGCAGAGCCTGATGGACACGGAGAGATGGAATTCTGCAGCCACAGGATGGTTTGGGAGTAAGACCCTCACACCCACCTCGAAGGACCCCCCAAAAGCTTTAGGAATTACCCAAAGCTTCAGGAATTACCCAAAGCTTTAGGAATTACCCAGGCATCCAGCAGGGAGCTGGGCAAGGGCTGAGTCAGCACCCAGGGTCGCCCCCAGCCAGGCCATTCCTCAGGCAAAGGTTGGGAAGGAGCTTTTCCTCCCTAGCAGGGCCAGGCAAATCATTCCTGGCAGATAAATAATTCAGCAGGAGCTGAGCCGTGCTCTGGCTGAGGATTGCCTGCGAGCCCTCTGCAATTATCCCGAATTTATTCGCCAGCCTGAATTTTTGGGTGAATTATTCAGACACGGCATTGCTGGGCTGAGGGAAAGCCTGGGGAAAGGAGGCAATACCTGAAATGACAGGAGAAATCCTCGTCAGGGGGAGGGAGTGGCTGCAGAGCACGGGTGCTGCTGGGGTTATTCCCCATCTGTGGGGTCAGGGTTGGGTTTCCACCCATTCCCTTCCCAGCCAAGAGCCCCTGGACATCCCTGAGCTTTCTGCTCCCTGCCAGGCAACTCCTCTGCTCAAGGAAAGGGAGATGGAGGAGAGACAGCTCCAGCAGAATAAATTCAGGTTTCTGGGTGGATGAGCTTCTCCCAAATTGCTTTAATGAGGCATCTCCTGCCTGTCCCAGCTGCAGGCTCCTCCACAGCCACACAAGCCCACGTGGTGGGGACATCCACAGGTGTCTCAGCTCATCTGGAGTCATCAGCCAAGGGCTTGGCCCCCGCTGCCTGCAGTGAAGACACACAGAGATGGGCTTTGCAGGGAAAAAATACCAAAACAGTCAATTCAAGCAAAAAAAAAAAAAGTCATTTTCTTGAAGGACAAAGCAATGCTTCCAGCAGGAAATCAGGGCAGCAGCATTGCAGGGACACAAGGAATGTCTCAGAGAGGCTTCTCAGCCTCCAGACACTGGAGCTGCTCCTGCTCCAAGGGGGCTTTGGCTCTTCCCTTGCCTGGAGCAGAGGATCCCCTGCAGCAGTGAGAGCCTCTGGCCCTTCCCCAGGCAGCTCCATCTGCTGCCCATTCCCAGGAGATGAAACTGCAGGAGGAGAGGCCTCAAGGGCAGGTTGGACAGGGCTTGGAGCAACCTGGGGGCTTGACAGAGATGATCTTTAAGGTCTCTTCCAACCCAAAGCACCTGGGATCCTCTGCAGGGTCAGACCACGCAGGGCAGGCTGACACCTTGGCACAGGCACAGCATTCGGGCTGGAGTCACCTCCCTTCAACAGGAAGACACCACAGGACCCT